GATCTACCAAAGTGATGCTTCCACATGGTACCAAATTCAAAACCCAGAGAACAAGAAGGAAATCAGTTTAGAACAGAGGACGAGAAGTCTTTACAACTATAACTACTCAACTGTCTTCATGCTTAGCTCTGCAGAAATGTCAACACAATCCTAAGGGCATTTATCTGGAATTTTACACTAGTATGCTTGTATCCCTATCATAGTCCACAGACTTGCAAACCACAGGACTCTGACAAACCAAAGTATGGCCCATCACACATACTTATAGCTGTTTACTCATGTCAAATATTAGTGTCTTCCATGAGTAGCCCTGCTGTAACCGGTGGGACTGTTTCCTCAGAGAGGTACTGCTCAACATGAGCAAGAACATTACAGCATGGGAGAGGGCGAAGATGTGCAATGAGACCAAACACCAGTATCTCTCCAAAATGACTCTCCAATGCTTTTGAAATCAGTTTGACATCACTGTGTCAGCAGCTCTCTCTCTGGGTGTGAGGCCAGATAGGATGCTCCAGTCATTCTTAGGACAGAGTTGTATTCTTTTTCAAGAAATCCCTGGTCCCATTACCAGACTTCTCCCTTCCACCACCCTCCTTGAAGGGACTTGGACAGAAAGCTGTCTCTTACCGAACCAGCAGCTCAATAAAGCCAGTGAAAGGGTTCTAGCAGCAAGGTACCATTTTACCCCCAAGTCTGCACCCATAGAATCATAGAATAGTTAGGGTTGGAAAAGACCTTAAGATCACCTAGTTCCAACCCCCCCTGCCATGGGAAGCAATGCCTCACACTAGGCTGTATCACCCAAAGCTCTGTCCAAACTTGAAATCCACAGCCATTTCAAGTCTCTTTTCCCTACAGGTGTACTCCCAAGCGCCCACTCCAAGACACAGAGACACCAAAGCACAGCAGCTGACTGCAATCAAAAGTGGTATCTCAACCATCTGTTTAAAAATGTGAGACCATTGACTCATTAGTTTCATGTAACTCTACCATCACAATAAAAAAACACACGCCTTCTAGAGAACAATATCAACACATGTGGGAGGACAATATCTCTGCAAGATGGGGTGTGATACTGCACATAAGAGCAATTCTCTTAGGATTTGCACTAAGCTCTGTAGCTTCTGTAGATTGGCACTTGCCGTGTTCATACTGGGGTCTGGGCTGTTCCCTGGTAATGGGCAGTGTTGTTGGGGTCCTCGCCATTGGCAGGATTTTGGTGACATAAAGCTGGGTGGCAGTTTGTCTGCTTTTACCGCTCTATTTTAGAGTACTTTTTGAGCTGAAGTTGTGTGAAATAGACAAAAGGAAAGTGTAAGCAGAAACCTTTCCCACCCTCCCCTTCCGCTGTCCCAGTCCCGATTATCTAGGGCTGTAGTAATTCCAGGGGTTACTCACAGGCTGACCAGAGCTGCTCACAGCAACTTTTCCAGACGAGGAGGAGTGAAAGCCAGTGAAGAGTAATTTAACAGAGTATGCCTCAGCTCATGGAAGCTGCTGAAGAAAACATAAACGAAGAGGGAAATCAGACCTCTGTGGAGTTCAACATTTGAAAGTTGAAGTCTCCTGCTCATGAGGTCATCGTGCTCTGCTGAGCAAGTGGAAGGAAAACATTTTCTCTTTACAGCATGACTTCAAGAAAGGAAGTTGTGTGGGCAGAAGCACTGGGGTGACTCTAAATACAGTGATGTCTCCTTCCCCAGAAGGCAGGTTTGGGTTGCTTTCTTCCAGCTGGGGCAATTTCAATGGCAAGAAGTAGGGAGGAAAATATTCAATACCTCTTGCTTTAGAGACATGTATCTCTACAGCCAATTATGACTCCAGCCATAAAGTTTGTAATGCTGCCTCTCATGGAGTTTATTTACTGTAACTTCCTTTTTTGAGTGGGCTGTTTATTTTTAAGCAAGTGTTGTTACATTTTTCACTAGATTACTAATAGCCACGTGCTCTGGCTGCTGAAGCTGATGTAACTGTAGGTCAGGATCTTAGCTCTTTCTTTAGCCTGTCCCTGAAGTAAATGTACAGAGGATGAGCTCAGGGTTTTCTCTAAGAGTCCTGTGTACCTTCCACGTGGAAGATAAGGTAGAGTCCCACTTCCAGCTCAGGTCTCTGAACTGGAGGGGTACAATAGTTTGGTTTGAGACTTAAGTGAAATCTCTACCAACCATCAAAAGGGCTTTGCAAAGTGCAGGGTTAAGGCAGAGTTCTGCGTGTGAAATTACATTTGTAACAGCCCTTTATTTATGATGCAGCTCTTTCAGCCAACAATAATGCAGGAACTTCTTTCAACAGCTTTGGAAATTGCTTTTCAAGTCTCAGCAGAAGTTTTGCTGCAATCTATGGCTCAGCCAGCAGCAAGATATTGCAGTATACACCTGAACATTCTCCTTGCACTAGCTTTGGGGCTTCCGTGGTCCAGCAAGCCCTTGTCCATATAATCCAGGCCACCTCAAAGCCTCCTCCCGAGTATCCTCCACCCACCATGTATTTTATAACGCTGAGAGTTTCTAACACAGATTTTGGGTGGTTTTTGGGTGTGTGGAAATGAGGAAATAAAACAGCTCTGGGCTTTCTAAACACCCTTCCCCTCATGAGAGGAGCTTACTGGAAGCACACGTTCCTGGATAGGCCAAACAGCCCTGGGCTGCTCTTGCTGGGTGCAGAGCAAGCCTTGTGGAAAACAGTTGCGGCAAGCAGGCTGCTTTGGGTGTCTCCTTACACTCGTCTGCGCTTTGCTCTCGGGCATTGTGCAAGACGGAGCAGGGCCAAGGGCCTCTGAGAATCGCCAGCTTTGGAGGCTGACCGTCATTCCATGCCCAAGGGAGCTCACTGAGGATACTTTATCTGCTCATCAGTCTGATAAGGATCTGGGTGTTAAACTCCTCCACTTTCCCCAGATAAATGATTTTAAGGAGACAATATACATCTACTAGTGATTTTTAGGTTATTCCTGTCTCACTGAGATAAAACGCCCTTGTCCTACCAAGGACACCATTTCCATGGTACTTTCTGTTGCTGAGATCAGCCCAAGTTGTGCTACCCAAATTTTCAGGTGATTGATGTGTCTGTCTATGTGTTTACTAGAAAATGAATTTGTTTGCTGTTGTTCAAAGTGAGGGTTATTGGGATGAGTATACTCCAAATTCCTCTGAAGCTGGAGTTTTGGGATGGGCTTTGAAGCCAATATGATTTGGATCAAGCCTTCAGCACATTGCTCAATTTTCCATTCTTTTGCAGGAAAACAGTTTACCAGTTACAGGGTGGAAAAGGGCAGCGGAGAGGTTTCCAAACAGCTCTCAGCTCAGCACAGCAGTGTCAGCCCTCTCATTTAACAGCCTCACTAAATGCCATTACAGCCACCATCCTAAAGCTGCTCTGCCCTTTAGCTTTCAGACACAGAGGTCACATCTGAACATCCTCCTTTTAAAAGATCAAATCAGAGGTTTTGACCAACTTCTATAATTAGGGCAGATGTATTTCCTTTTACCACTTTCCACTTGAAATGCCACACAGGCTCTGTACAAACTTGACATTTCCTATTTTAGCAAGACAAATTAATATTCAAGTTTGTATTTCACTTGGAGCACCAGCTTAGCCCACCGCTGTTCACTAAGGAGCACACAAGCTATTCCAGCAAGCAGCTTGTCTTAATATTTGTGTGATTTATAGCTCAGTCTGTAGTCATTTTAAACCCTGATGTCCACATTTAGCTCCAAATCCTAGCAAGATGGAGCCTTTAAGACCAAGTTTCCACTCCATACAGTTGCTAGAAAATAATTAGCATCCAAATTTTAACAAAGCCAATTTCCAAAATGCGGAGGAAAAACCATTCCTCAGCTCCGCGGTCAAGAGGTGTGGACACACATCCCTGTCTCAGCACTGGGGAGCCTGTGGATGGCCAGCGCTCCCCGTTATCCAGCCGGGATGGCAGTATCCCGGCCGGCGCTGCCGTTCGGCTTCGTCTGCAGCAGATGGTGCTGCCGGCTCGCCCGGAGCCGGCCGCGCTTCCCACCCCGCCTGAAGAATCACCCGCGGAGAGGGAGTTGTGAGCAGGAAGGGTCCAAAGCAGGATGAAGACCTCCCCATCAAAGGGCCCTCCGGCATGAATTGCATCCCTACAAGTCTCCCATTGGAAAGAGAGCTGGGCAAAGGAAGATTATGGGGTGAATCAAAGAACATATGTGCGCAACCAGTGTTGGGAGTGAAAAAAAAAACACGGGTTTTCCTATATAGACGTAAACACACTTAGGATTCCATCCTAAAACAAAATAATTACTTTTTTTGCCTGACATTTTCCAATTTCCAATCAGAGATGTTGCCCTTTCCTCGTTTGTAATTTAAATAGGGCACCCCCTTCTCTCCCAGTGAAAGCAGGGATTTAATACTTTCAGATACACTAGAAGAGAAGCTCATTTTCTGTATAACACCCTCTATCCTGACTCCCTGCTTCTTGGACTGCTCTATTACCCTCGCATCAGACCATATCCTGGGGCAGCTACAGCCTCCATGCAGCTGGCAAGAGCTTATTTTTCCAAGCTCAAGTGGAAATAGTCAAAATGACCCTGTGATTTTTCACCAAGTCAATATCTGAGAGCATAAATTCCTCACCACACAAAGCAACATATCAGGTCTAAATAATAAATGAGGTTGAAATGTATGGCTGGTTTAGAAAGACCAGAGACAAAGCATTACAACATCTACTTCAAATTACCGGCTGTCAGTGAATTCATAGGAAGCCTTAGCTTACGATCAATCAGCAGATCCCCCTTTTCTGTAGCGCAACTCCAAGCCCAGGTTGTGTCCTTGTGTTGTCTTGTGTCCTCAGAGGGATCTACAGTAACCATTTCATATATGCTCCTTTAAATTAGTGAGCCTCTGTATTCTTACAGCTGAGTCCCACCCTAGGCTGGTGCCCTCTACCAAACCATCTGGCTCAAAATTAATTTGGGTGAGTCTGTCTCTGTCCACAATGAGATATAGATATATAAATATAGATATATATATATGTCCACCATCACATATGACATCAGCCGGGGACGTAATACAGAATCCAGCAGAGGTATTGCCACCATCTCACAGCATCTTCCCATCCCTGGAGGAAAGGACTGGCTTATGGATGGCTTTAGGCAAAGGCAAAATCACCCACTGTCAGGGCAGCAGCTTGGGTCCAACAAATTATTTTGCCCTCAGCTTTTTCTAGCAGGGTGCTGGGAAGCCCTGGAGATCTGGCCAAACCTCTACCAGCTGAACAAGGCACAGGGTTCCTGCCATCCACTGCCCATCCTATCCAGCTCATTTGGGGTAGCAAGGCCCAGGCAGAGAGGCAGGATTTTAGGAATAAGGTTCCCAAGTCAACTAGATTTTTGAGGAGCAAACATAATATTTAATATGGAGTTTGAAGCTCCCAGGGAGTGAACGCACAGCACAGTGCGAAATGATTGTATATGCCTGTTGCAGGTTACTCTCTACCAAGCAGAGGATTTCTGCATCACTTTCAGATGGATTTATAGCTGCCAGGTACAGTGTCAACGGTATTTAGTCTTATCTTAAGCCTCTTTCCCTGGACTCTAAAATAGACCAGTCTACATTTGCAGAACAATGACAGAACTCTACAGAGCATTAAAATCCTCATTTGGGGTGGAAATTTGCTGAATTCCTTTCCAGCCCAGCAAACCCATCTGTGAACTGATCCATGCACTGAAGCATGGCCCCACTGAAGTGTAGCAAGCCTTTTTGCCTGTGCAAAGCACCTTTCAGCATAGGAGATTCAGTCAGCATTGATTGATGAACAGGTAGTTGCTGGCCCATAATGTGATTTAGGAAGAATCTTTTCCATGCCCAGTATCATTTTGATCTATGTTACTAAATGAAATTCACCTCTCACCCTCACTGAGCAGATTACAAACCCCAGCATGATAGCAGAGAGCACAAAGCAGAAGACGTGGCACTTCTGCTCATGCTTGTAACATTCCTTTGCAGATAAGCGACTCTTCTAGATTTACAGCCATGCCCTCTCCTTCCCTAAACAACCAAGAGAGAGGATTTTCTACTTCATCAACACATGCCCATGTTCTCCTGCATAATTCCTTGTGGCTAAGCAGGTTCAGAGTAAATTCTTAGCCTCATCTTTCACTGACATGTCATTGCTCATTCCATATTAGCACAGTCCCTACTCTGGAAGCAGCAGCTGATGGCAGAGATAGGGATGTATGGCTGCAGGGACTGAGCTCAATTCTTTAACCAGTCTTTTGGATTTGGGTCTGGGGAGGCAAAACCAACTCCAGTGATGGGTGCATCAGCTCTGCCAGGGACAGACAAGCACAGCAAGGAGGGCCTGTGACTCTGCAGAAGAGATGCTGGCTGGATGTATTTGGACATATCCATTCTGAAATACAGAGGAGACACACAGGGAAAAGAAACGCGATCTCTGTGCAAGTGCTATTTGAGAATGGTGACTTCAATATTTAAAGCATCCCTGACTGCAGTACACTGAAGTTATCAACATTTTTTACAGTACACTCAGGTTGACCCTAAGGCTCAATTTATATTGGTTGATGAGACACTCAATATGACCCAGCAGTGTGCACTTGTAGCCCAGAAAGCCAACCACATCCTGGGCTGCATAATCAGCAACAGGACCAGCAGGTCGAGGGAGGGGATTCTTGCCCTCTACTCCACTCTAGTGAGACCCCCACCCTGCAGTCCTGCATTCATCTCTGGGGGCAACAACATAAGAAGGATGTGGACCTGCTCAAGCAAGTCCAGAGGAAGCCACGAAGATGCTCTGAGGGCTGGAGCAGCTCTGCTCTGGAGCCTGACAGAGCTGGGCTGGTTCAGCCTGGAGAAGAGAAGGCTCCTTAAGGGGAGATCTTAGGGCAGCTCCAGTGCCTAAAAGGGCTGCAAGAGGCCTGGAGAGGGGCTTTGGACAAGGGCCTGTAGGGACAGGCCAAGGGGAATGGCTTTAACCTGCCAGAGGGGAGATTGAGATGAGCTCTTAGGCAGAAGTTCTTCCCTGTGAGGGTGCTGAGGTGCTGGCACAGGGTGCCCAGAGAAGCTGTGGCTGCCCCATCCCTGGCAGTGTTCAAGGCCAGGTTGGACACAGAGGCTTGGAGCAACCTGCTCCAGTGGAAAGTGACCCTGCCCATGGCAGGGGGTAGGAACTGGATGATCCCTGAAGTCCCTTCCAATTCAAACCAGTCTGTGACTCTAAGATTACTCAGAGAAAAATAATGTACTGAAAACCTTTATGGGACAAGGAGATATGCCAACAGTAAACTTGGCCAGTGTACTTAATAGATAGAAACCCATTTGTTGCTTTTTTGAGAACTTAATTAAATTTCCCATGAATTCACTTGTAATAACAGTAATAGGCACCATAAATGGAAATCTTCAATGATGCGTTAGCAACGTAATTTCCTGAATTTGGCTTATATCTCAATAATGTCTAAAGCCAGTTAGATCTTAAAATACAGCTGGTATGCATTATCCCATTCCAAGTATGAGGGTGTGTATGGTCTTACTTGTGAGCCTGGGTGTGTAAAATAAATTACTTTGGTGCTGCTTGACATGGAGTTTTATTGCCTGTAGAACGATGCCTGTAAGGAGGCAGTTATGATTTCTTCTGTTTAAACAAGAAGCCTTCAGGAGGGCAGCACACATACCTTACACACTGACATGCTCCTCCAGCACTCCTTGGACTGTTGTCAGAAGAGAAGGGGGAGGCTTTGAACCAAGCCCCATGGAATCAAACGAGGCAAGCTGTAAACTTAAAGTGCAAAAGAGAAGGAAGTTAGAGGGGGAAGAACCATCTCTGCTCATCAAGAGATGCACACATCCACTCTGCAACTCTCCCTGCTTCTCAGGCCTTTTCTGTGCTTTACATCCATGGTAAAAAAAATCAGTAGCTAAAGAGCAAAGAAGAAATGTTTGTTGGGACAGTGGCCTTATGGGAGGCGTCCCTGCCCACAGCAGGGGCTTTGGATCTAAATGATCTTAAGGTGCTTTCCAACCCAAACCATTCTCTGATTGCTGAGCAAAGCAATCTGAGTGTGTGGAGGAAGGAGAATTGCTCTCAGATACGATGAGCCCCGTCAGTGGATAGGAGCTTTCATCAGCAGTTTCACATTATGTGCACTCAGACCCCAAGTGCTAATATGGGAGCTGTAATTAAAGCATGGCCAAGACTTCTAAAACCTTTGCATCCCTGCCATTAATTTTGGATGGTAATGAGTACTGCAGTCCTGCTAGGGGTGGGGTAGGGTGAATCACAGTACAAACAGACATCAGTGATTATCTTGTGGCATGAAGCTGAAATGAAGTGGGTGACAACAGTCATGGCATACAAAGTATGTGGTTGCTCTGTCGAAGCACCGCAGGAATGCTGGGGAAGAGCTAGAGGAGAGCCCAGTGGAGAAAAACACAGAACAGACATTTGCTGCAGAGGAGGCTGATGTTTCCCCTCATACCCCAAACAGGAGAGTGCTGTGTAGATAATACAGAAACATAGTGCCTGCTCTGGAAGTGCAGTTCTCCCAAGGATAAATTAAAATACACTTAAATCACTGGACTCATCCTCATAGATTTCAGTGAGATCTAGACGCAAGTAGAAAGGGTGCCAAGAAATCCCCCAGGGATTAGCCCTCTGCTTAGTGATACCAGATACTAAAGAGTTCACGTACCTCAAAAAGAAGTTTTACTGTATTTTTCATCATGAATATACAATAACAAGCTTTCTGTTCACTGGGAATCTTCCTAAGATCCCATAGTGACTCAGTTCAAAAGCTAAAGACCTGGCAACATAGCAACTTCATCCATAATCTCCTATTTACAGTTAAGCCAGTGCTCCTCATGTGGTAACACAGCTGCCTCAGGGGTTGGCTTCAATTCTTCCTTAGAATCAGAAGTGGGAATCCCAGCTGGATTCTTCTTTTCTTCCTGACTCATCTGTTCCTTCTGAAACAATGCAGGGTGCTAAAATATCCAGCGCTAGCTATCTATACTAGTACTCTGCAAAGCATCCCTCCTAGACTCTTACAGTACCACACATTGCCAAGCAGCCAAGAGCCTGGTCCTACTCCTCCCTGCTAAAATACCCTGCCCTCAGCCAATGAGAAGGCACAGCTTGTTCTGGTTAACTACATAATTACTCCATTAGACTTGATGTGTCATCAGCTTTTGAATGATGCTATGGCTGTGATTATCCATCTGTCCAAGCAGTATTGGTCTGTTATAATAAGCTCTGAGAGGTCCCTCTGATGGTGTGTATCTGCACCATCCCAGTATCGTTCTTATCCCATTGGGGATTTTGCTCTTGATATAAGATTTCTTATTGGTTTATAAGTTTTATTGCTGTCCTGCTATTTTGCAGACATTTACTCAAGCTTCCTCTACCTAAAGGCAATATATTTACGATGGTAATCTATGATTTTGCCATGACTTCCATGTTAAGGTCAGAGCAGTCAGCACTCTCACCAGCTTTAAAATACAGTGTGAGACTCGGGGTGCAATGAGAAACTCGACAGCATGTAAATGACTTGCAAAATTAGTAAAAAGAATTCCATAATGAAGCAAGAAGCTTAACCCTGCACTTGGCCTCAGGGAAAAGCTCCCTTGGTACTTGCTCCATCCTCATTCTCCTCTTCTGCTCCCTGTTGCTCTGCCTGTCCCTGTCACACTGCTCTGCAAAGGTGCTGTGGGGACATGCATGGCTCGGATGCCCAGTGTCCCCTCTGGATGATCTCCTGACCCTCAGCAGTGGCAGGGAGCTGAGCTGGTGGTGCAGGGCCACTGCCAGTCCTCAGTTTTCCATTGTTCAGCCAAGCTTCCCATCCACCAGATTCCCCATTCCACTTTGGCAAGCCCTCCTCAGAATGCAAACTTCATCTCAAGGCCTCCTTGCTGAAGCATTACCCTGTGTTTCTTGTTCCTTAGATCATCTTGGTGAAGCTGGGATTGATTTTCCATCCTGGGAAGCTCTGCTCTGGACCGGTTTCCTTCACCCATCCCTTCAGGTTATCCTCCCTGCCCATTACCAAGGAGTGGCAGCTGCAAAGGCCTGGCCTTGGGAAAGCTGCCCTTGCTTCAGGAGCATATTCTGTTACACTGAGTATATCCAGGCTCTGAAGAGAAATAATTAATGAATTATCACTTTGCTTCCATGAACAAGAGACAACCAATAAACCTATGGTGTTTAACAGTCAGAAAAATGATCTAAACAAAATTGCCGTAAGATATCACAAAGTCCTGACCTCCTCCTGTTAGTTTGTTCTTAGAAAGCAGCACACCTAACCGATACAACCACAAAATGAACAGGATCTCAGCAAAGATCTTGTGCGAAAGGGACCATTTGCATTTGACATGCTCTGTCACATTGAATTTTAATTACAGCTCCCCTCTGGTGCTGGCGCAGGAGGGGAATGCTAATGACATGCAGGAGAGGCAGCACAGGGGAGGGAACAGCAGTGGCAATCTACATCCGAGCACCTGAACAAAGGGCAAGGTCCCCAACCTGATGGCAAGGAGCAACTAACATAGCTATAGTAAAGTGCAAATCTTCTTGGTTTAATTCCCTCTTTAGCTCCTATTATTTCCCCCCAAGTGGTGAGCTACTGGTTGGATTAAACCACATCTAAATGAGTTTAATTTATTACATTGCAAGGTACAGCCTGTTTATGACCAAAAAAAACACTGAAGGATACCTGGGTTTAGCTGAACAAATCAGGACCACAGAACGCTTCTCTAATGATTACTAAGATGTAGCTTTGAATTATTACAATGTCATGACACTACTTGCTTAGTGTTGTATTTGTCGGGATCCTGTTTGTTGAGTTTTATAGCAACATCTTTAGGAAGCATTGCTTAAAAAATGCATCACTTAAAAAATGCATCGCTCTGGTGGCTCCATAGCTCAAGTATTTCTGGCAGTGATGACCTGTAGTCTTCTTGCATTATACACACACTTAACGCTCTGAAACAATTACAGGCATCATCAGTAACATCCCTGCTGTTTTCTACCTAGAAAGAGAGAAAGCATCTTAATCAAATGGTGATCATTAACTCACCAAGTATTACTACAGCAAAAGCTTTCAAATATGTGCGATGCTTATATATATCTCAACAAAAAGTAATCAGGGCATTAGGAGTCCATGTAAAGATTCAAGAAAGGGCAGAGAAATTTGGAGTACAAAACACACTTTCAAACCCCATAAATATAATGAGAGGCTACTCAGACTATTACATCCCCTTGAGGTGTCACTGAAGTCAGAGTTGACAGTATTCAGCTGGGCATCCTGTGCCTTGTGAAGATATTTCAGACCTCTTCTTGCTTCCCCCCTCCCCCAAGATAAAGATATTTATGTTTATATAAATATTATATTTAATGTTATAATATATTTACATGAATATTATATTTAATATTATAATGCATGTATATAAATATCATATTTAATATTATAAAATATTTATATTTCTCGAAATTACCAAAAGCAGCTCAATTATGTATTTAATCATGCTATTCAAACATGAACCAGCTTCCAAAGAAATGCAAATATGCTTATCAGGACAAACGTCTGATCTACACAGATTGTCTGACAATTCATTAAATCCTTAGGGATCACAACAAAGACTTTCACAACCCTTTTGTTGTAAGAGTGCGATCTATTCCTGGGGGGAAATTCTGTGTTATATTGCTGTCTGCTTGCACAATACAAAGATGTTTTTCCTGCATTATTGGGGTTAGTAATGCAATGTTTGCTATTTCATCACTGTATGTTCCTGCCAGAAGAATTTGTATTACCTCAAGCACTATTGATAAAACGGAGTTGTTTAGGGAGAAAAAGGTTTCATGCAGTGAAATAAATTAGGCAGGAGTCTTATAAAATGAAAATACAATTTAAAGGTATAAATTACTGATAAATAGCACGTGTCACTATGCTCTCTTCTTGGTTTGTGTATTTTCTATAGATTATTATCAATATTTTTTATAGTTTCTATATTTTTTCTCACCTTCTTTTTCTGTCTTTCCATTCTCCTCTTCTGCAAGTAATAATTAGCTCATTTAAAATTTCCCAGTGGATAAATGTGGCTGGCATATGCCATTGAACAGTAGCATAATGAAAGGTAAGATCTTTGTCTTCTATATTGCAGCAACACTTCTTTTAAGCACAGGAAGAGCTTCCTTCACTTTAGCATCGAAGATACACACTCATTTTCTCAGCAACATTTCTTTCTGCCTTTTGCCAGAACAGGATGCTATCAGTAAAGCAGCAACACAGGAGAGAATGAGCAGCTCTATTCCCGAAGCATCTAAAAACTGAGTGTGGACAACTAAGTTACCCTAAAGTGTTATTATCTTTACGTTTCTCTCATAGGGCATAAACCATGCCCAGTCATTTTACATATTGCAGGAGTTAGGGGGTTATGTTTTGCATTAAAAAGTCTAGGGGAATCTGGAGGGTTGATAAAGGACTTAAAAAGGGCGGACAGATTTCACAGGGCAAGAAGCTAAACTTTAGAAAAAAGTCATAAATCATTTATTCCTCCCTCACATAGATTTTTGAGGGTGGCTTTCAGTATTCTGATACGAACGTACAGAGCTCTTGGCATAGTTCAAAGTGTGGCTGCATTGATGTAAGGGCATAAATGTCAGCTGGGAATGTCTCTGCATTACAGAAGGAATATTCAGAGAGATTTCAAGTAAAAATACTCATCCTTCTACATATATATATATATATATGTGTGCTATCTTAATGTATATTTACCTTTTCCAAACTGCATGCTCAGCAGCATGGTCAGTGCCAGGTGAGATGATATGGCTCCAGGCAGGCTGAGATGCTCTGGCTCACATGAACCCTGCTACTTGCAGGTTACACAGTGAGTGAGAAAGTTGAGCCCTAATGAACGGAGCCACTGCCCCTCAATACTGCAAAGTAAGACACGTCTAATTCTGCAGCTGTGTCTGGTGCTATTTTCTCCTCCACTGTTTCATGTGTTTCATGTTCATAATCCATCTGACCAGGATGAGCTCTGAGTATCCGCCAGCCATCAGTGCAAGCGGGAAACTCGTCCTTTAAGTTAGCACAAATTCCCATCAGGCAAACCTCTAATTCCTCCCTAATTAAGCTTGGCAGATGAAGCTGAATGAAAACCATGTTGTGTTCCATCCAGCGTTTGAAGGGGTCTTTGCTAAATCAGAAATAAGTACTTTAATCTGTGTAAGGAGATATTTTAAGCACAAAACTGTGTCTGCAAAGGCAAATCCTTTATACATCCCTCAGGCACATGAAAAGATCCCCCCTGGCAGAGCAGGAGAGGACTGAAATCTCCTATAGCAACCGGCCACTAGCAACGGTAACAAACAGTCTGTGGTCTGATTAGTTCAACTTTCTCAATTGTTCTATGAGAAGCAAAGAGAGATGGAGGCTGCCTGTGCAAGGGCTCAGATTTTGCACCCTGCAGTACTCAAGCATCAGCTGGCCAGAAACAGAGGTGATCATGGACTTGATACCTTTGTGCCTCATTTTGCCTTCCTCAAACAACAAATGGAGTTTTGTTTCCTTCCTCGCTCCAGTACAGATGCAGAAGCCTAGGGAAGTTGATAAACCAGAGGCCTCACCTGAGCCAAAGTTATTGCTTGTACATATTTGTCTGCATTTGCACAGAATCCTGTTGGCTTAAGTAGGAATAAAATGTTGGACTGATATTTGCTGGCATCTGGAGTTAATATTTCAGCTGTTTCTATTTTTTGAAATAAAAAAGCAAGGTTATTTCCGCTCGAAGAGGCTCACAAAGCTGGGCAGCTTCATGAGATAAAGGGTTTGAGCTGCCACATTGGAAATAACAGAGTTTGCGCCTATGCTTTTGCTTTACTATCGCTGGAGCACCCACCTGTGCTGGAGACCCATGTGAAAATGAAGCAGACCCAAGCATTCTTGCAGCTTGCGAATGGCCACTTCTCTTCAGTCCACACCTTTCTGAGGTTTATTGGTAACGGGAATTATCAATCAAAGTTCACCTTTTGAATTAAAACTTCCTATGGCCTCAAAC